AAAAAAAAAAAAGACGCTTGTCTATGTCAACAAACCCTAAAATTTTTGTTAATTTTTTTTGTAGGTTCTTTTTGTAAACAGATCTCATCACAATTTTCTTTTGTATCATTTTATACGCAACAGAATTATTAAAATAAACAGCAAAAATTTAGATGTTTTTTTATTGAAATACATTTTTCTGGGATACTCGTACGATAAAGCTTCAAAAATTTTAGCAGTTTTACTTAAATTATACAGAAAAAGTTTAGTATTGAGTGATCAAAGCTCTGATAAATAACACTGCTTTTTTTTTTGCTCTTCACTTACATCTTTACTGAACTCGATTTCAGTTCGTTTTGTTTTCATCTAATAATCTATTTTGTTGTTTATTTAGTCCATAAATTATTGACTTATAAAGTTTTGAAGATTATACATTTTTGTTTTTTGTTGAGTATTCTTTTAATAATTCAAAACATGAAGACTGACGAAAACCGAAATCAATTTTTAAAGTCGTCAAGTTATTCACCAAGCTCATCTTTTTGGTTCTCAAACTGATATATAATAAGAAAACATTTATAAGTCTCAAACAGCAAAACTCTTTGCAGGAAATTTGTAGACTTAGCCTCTAGCTTCGGGAAATATTTCGTGAAGTAGTAGATGATAGCAGTATTGATGTGGAATGCTCTAAGAATGTCAGATTTTTAACTGGAATTTTCTATTGAGACTCCACGTGTGTTTAGGGTGCCTGTGTTAAGGGTGCCTTTAGTTCATCTTCTACTTAAACGTATACAGCAAAGAATTAAGTTCCGCAGCTGAATCATTTACTGAACGAAGAGTAAAAACAACTATGCGCATAACAATGATCTCCAATATGGCAGATACGATTAATGCAGTCAGCGGACTACATCAGTTAAACTTTTAGTTATGTACAATAATTAAAAATTCACAACAAATAGAAAATATAAATTATTAAAGAAGAAAACAAGGTAAGCAGCATTTCCATAGTTGCGGTGCCCAACAAAACTGGGTTCTAACCTAATTAACAAGCGAAGCTGAGGAAAACTCGGCTTAAAATCGTTTGTTTAAGCTTTTTTTCGCTACGCTCCTTCGCTTCCACAATTGCATTATGCCCAGTACTACCAGATGTTAAACAACTAATAAGAACTATATAACGGACATCAAAATTATAATTGTTTGTTCATGCTTCAAAACTACCAGAATTTTAGAAGTGAACTACTTACTGATGTGGATCTCTGGAGCGCAGCACACATGCTTACCAAATCTACCAGAAAAGACACATTTGGCTCCTGGGCCTGCCATATCACATCGTGAGTTTACTGCTGAGCCAGGACACGATATCGGTGCACCTGCTTTAATCACAACTGCATAACCTGGATGACCAGTGCATTCATTTTCGTGTTTTGCTGTTATTAAAGACGAATGAGCAGCAGCAGCTCCGGAAGACGACAATTGCACCTAGAATCAACGTGAAGTAAAACGCTATAAGCAAAATTGAAAATTTTTTTCAATTTTTTTGCAATCGCTCTCATTTGTTAATTCAACTGTATGACAGAAGAAGCTTAAACGTACTCTACAGCAAATAAATCCATTGTCTGTGCCGGTATAAAGACAGGCAGAATTGTCTGGACAAGACTGAGGCGTTCCAGCCCTAGCATACGGGTTACATGTACGGTAATTACCTGCTAATTCCACCGGAACCAAATTAGCTGGTTGTGGTGGACAAACGTCTGAAAAATTAATTTTGCCCTTGTCATTATTGAAAGCTCACGCCCCACCCGTTTCTAAATATGTAGACAAATAAATAAACGGTAAATAAACTTTCTACCACAACCAAATAAAACTAGTAAGACATTGTAAATGAGAAAACATCATTAATATTATTACTTGGTAGTCTAACATCACTTTCGAGGCCGCAGCATATGTACCTCTCTAGATTTGTAGAGAACTGACAATGACGATTGGCACCACAACCTTGAATAGCATCGTTGATAGGAGCCGAAGGACTGCAATATCTATACTGAGCTCCACCTTCTCCAGGTACAGGAACAAGCTGTGGCGGACAATCTAGAAATCCCGGTGTGAAGTAAAATAATTGGTCATAGTGTATCTGTTCAGAGTAACGCTACTCCTATTAAAACTTACAACCAGTGTCGACTGAATCTGGAGATCGACAGCAGTAAAAAGCGTTGACGGCCGTTGTAGTGGTAGAGAACCAACAGAAGAAGTTGCCTGGACAAGCACCATCAACATTTGGTGTACACTGCATTGGTTGCAGGGACAGTGCCGAGATAAATGGTGTTGAACTTGCTGGGCATAAAGCTAAAATAAACATCTTCTGCTGTGTCTCCTCGTTTACACGTAGTTATCGAATCCGTAACGAACAAATCGCTGATAGTAATATAAAAAACTAACACTGCAGCTCCGTTGACGCACCACAGCAAACATTTTGGTCAAGCAGCGGACTGCTGTAACAAGTATATCCATCCGGACAGCCGCCGGACACTCTTCCTGAACCACCAGGATTAGAACATTGAGTAAGACGCTGAGTATCTGCTTCTTTTGCTACTACAGTTCCAGGTGGACAAGCTTCAGACAAACAATAATTCTGACACGACTTCTGGCTTGCAAAGTTGTTGCGATTACCTGAAGAGTTTGTCATATTTGTTTACAGATAGTGATGAAAAAGAGCATTTCATTCAAAATAATTTTTAAATACTCTGCTCTGCACTAAACTCTGACCAAAAGTTAATTAAATCCATGTTACCTTCGCAGCCGTTGTATTCAAATGTTTGACATGTTTTAGTATCTGCGTTGAAGTAATATCGAGTAATACGAGTAGAACTGCACCGCACACCGACATCACGAGGTTGACTGCAGACGTAATTCTTTGATGGACAGCATAAGGACTTGGTTTGATAAACCGTCCCTGTCCAAGTGGTAACTGGAGTGCAGTAGTGAGTTGCTGGACATTGCCTGTTTGATGTACAGCTGCGAGCCGCGCCGTTTGGTTCTTTCCACACCTGTAAATGTGTAAAAATATAAAAATCACGCAAGTATGCTGAGGGTAACTGAAAGTAGCCTTTAATTACAGATGACATATACTTATTTTTTAAATAATTACCTCTCCACCGTCTGGACAACTTTCAACTCTACAGTAGTCTTTGCAGTCTTGTTGAGTGGCAAAGTTGTTGGAATTACCATCACAACCGTTAAATGAAAAAGTTTGGCAGGTACGAGTCGTTGAGTCGTAGTACCATCGCGTAACTGCTGGACCACAAGTTGCTCCACTCTTGTAAGATAAGGAGCATGTATAGGCTAAAAATACAGTTTACCGGTAATTACGACAAAAGTCACCACTGCACAGTTACTATCGCTGCTGTCGGACAACGTTAAAGTCGCACCTTGCGTTGGACAACAGCCATACGTCGTCCCGTCGTAGTAGCAGTAGTGATTTGCCGGGCATGTAGTAGTAACGGATGTTGCTCCACCACAAATAATAAAGTTGCCATTAGAATCCGTAAGTGCTGTTCCTTGGATGCACTGTGGTTCGCCTAAAGTGATTCAGCTTATTCTACTTTTTGTTCAGCAACTTGCAGTAGTAAATGTTGTATCTTTAGAAATATTACATCGAGTTTTATTCGTTAAACAGTAAAGAAAAAACAAACTTCTGGCATCACGACAATAATCTTGGCACTCTTTGTATGACTCAAAGTTGTTTGCATTTCCTTGACAGCCCGAATAAATGAATTCTTCGCAGTTACCAGTTTTTGCATTGAACCACCACCTGTTGCTGTAGGTGCCACAGTTGCCTTGTTCACGAGGTAGTTTACACACGTACCTGTAAAGAAAGATAATCGGAAAATTATGACTAATGGTCAAAAAGGTTTATTCAATAAGTTTTTCAGTTCTTTTTTGACTAATGATAGCTCATGAACTAGTGATAACGAACTGTGGTCGTGGACAGCAAACTCCACCAAATGTCGTAGATCCTGATGTAGACTCGCAACTATGCGTTGAGGGACATGTATTGGAGCCAGATCCAGTTGGAGAACAATCCATATTTCGCTCACCGCTGCTGTCCTTCAAAGGCTCACCAGCACTGCACAAAACTGTAACAACACTGTGTTAGCTGATCGGGTGCCACTAATGGATAAAAGTTCTCGTAACGAGGGAAAATAAAATAAACTCTATTAAAAGCTGTGATGTAAGTTAATTATTTCTTCAATGATGCCAATTTTAGAATGAGATCAGTTGCACTTACTTCTGGAGCAAAATTTCTCACAGTGATCTTGCGAAAGGAAATTGTTGAAATTACCACCTTGACCAAGATACTGGAAGAAACAGTAATTGGTAAAATTTTATTTGAATACTAGTAAGTTTTTGAAATATGGGCGAAATAAAAGAGTAAGTTAGAAGTAGATTATACCGAAAACTGGATGCAGCGACCTTCCCTTGAATCGTAATAGAAACGAGGGTACGTATTACCAGAACCATCTGGTATACCAACATCAAAATATTCGGTTGGTACACCACCAGCCGTATTATAAACTTCGGTTGGAATGGCTCCATTTTTAGAGCATATATGAACTACAATAATGCAAGATATTGCTTTTATGACCTTAAAATCTTCTTATTGATTGCTTCTTACAGTTGTAAATCTTATTACACTTTACAGCATATGCTACCATACTAATTATAGTCAAAAATTTTTCTGTTTCCTTTTTTCATAAACCTTTTTTTAAAACTGCGATTTGAACGACTAACGTTCATAAAGCCGTAAGGACGATAAAACCTTTTGAAACTGCAAGAACTTACGATATGTTGGACAACACTGTTGTAGTGTTCCCATGGTTGTACAAACATAGTTAGGATTATTGCAACCATTGTCGTTTCCTTGACAGTAAACTGGCTCTTGTTTGACGCCAGTTGTGCGATCACGATACAACGGTAGGCCACGGTTGCATGCTAAAAAAAAATATTTACAAAGTGTTCAAGCAAATAAGAGTGAATTTTGAGAAACCAATTAATTAGACTCATTGCCGATTTAACACTTCAAAAAAATTTTAACAACGCTGAACAGACGTAAGAGCAAAGAAGTTATGGAAATACTATATAAACGCTACAGTTTTGAGAGAGATTAGCAAAAGATGATCGCTGAACCAGACTTAGTGCGTAATATTAATATTATTGAAACAATAATAAAGTACGATTCAGTGCTTAAAATTTTTTTTTGTTTGCTTAGTAGAAAAGCAGCAAACAAGGATCGTGAAACTCATCTTAACGGGACTGGCTAAAATCAACTCTCAAATACTTTCAATACAGCTGTCAAAACGGTAGAATATACTTTAAAGAGTGACGCAACGCAACGAAAATGTAAGAGTCGCTCGGGCATCTACGTTAATCTACAGATAGTTGTTAATGTTTCTAGCTGATAACAAAAATATTTATTGGACAATTTGCTACGCTAAGTGGATTCATTTAAAATTGTAATAAAATTTCTTTTTCTTATCATCAGAGGTCTAAGAAAAACAATCGCTTACCATTGCTAAAATTGTAAAAAGTGATTTATAATAAAAGAATGTTAACTCTTAAGATGATCCCATTCAGTTTCAAGAAGGCTAATCTTCTGATCACCAAAAGGAGTTCAGTGGTTGCTAAATTTAGTTCACTATCTTATTTACCGTCCTCTACTGCATTCCCCACAGTAATCTTATTCAGAAGTACCATCAAGTAGAGTAAAAAATTCAAAGACACAACTTGCACCAAACCTGTTAACAGTCAGTCTAAAGTATCATCAAATATCGAAATTAAAATAGAAAGTTTGCAATAAAATCATATTTAAGATTTGTTAGAAAAAAAAGATACTCTTTCTGATACAATTTTAGGACCTTCCAAAGTTTAACTTGCTAAGAAACATTCAGCTGTTTGATTATCAACTTACTCTGTTTGCAATAACTTTCGCAGTGATCCTTGGTTTGGAAATTATTTGCATTGCCACCATAACCCTGATATTTCAGTTCACGACATTCACCTGTGATAGGGTCGTGGTACCAGTGATTTAAGGTTGTGCCACCACCAGGTGGAGTATAACCTTCATTTGGTGGTTGAATGCAAGCAAACGCTGAAAATTTGAGTTATACTTGCCCAGGTGATTCAATAATCCAACAACAAAACTGAAATTTGAGCATTTCTTGCGCGAAAAATTTAGTATAAACATAAAAGAATTTGACCACACAGCTTTTTAGCTTTAAAGCACAGGCAATGCACTTTTTTTTCATACCTCGAGAAGGACAACAGAAGCTGATCGGGTTGTTAACAGTACAGTCATCGCTGTCACAGATACAATCATACGCTAAAGCTCCAATAGCTTCGCATGTTGCGTCTGCTCCTCCATAGCACTGCTGCACTTGGTTCTCAATGCGGAACTTTGGGTTGTTACCATTCAGAGGACAGAAGCCATAATTAAGACAAACAAGTCCATCTCGGGTTCTTAAATATTACCAAATTGATTCTCTGCTTAGAATAATAACAACGCTCCAGACATAGTTTTCTTATTCACCATTTCCAAATTTTCAAAAAAGAAATTCTTTTCTTTTTTACTTATTAAAACCACCTAACAGTTACTTAAAACTCAAAAAAAAACTGATAGTTCTCAAAGCAATTCATCTTTTTCACAAACTGAAGTTACAATTACATGAACTTGAGCTAGCAATAAAACAGCTGACAGTCAATCGCTATAATTGCTTAAAAGGCTTCACTTGAGTAGAACCACAAAATTTTCCTACATCAAAAGATGTACAATACTGAATAACTTATAATTTTGCAGCAAAAGAAACTAGTATTTCAAGCTAATGTTTAGTTTATTTTCAGCTTCTGACCTGAATGGAGGCTGATTGTTGGCACATCGACATTCACCGGACCTGCAATATGCGCCTGGCCAAACAGCTTCGCATTGCCTATTTTGTGTGCATCCAGACTCGCCAGGATTGATTTCTAAGAAAAGAGAACAGCTTTACTTTTTCCTGTAATTAAGTGACTTGGTCTAAAATTCAAACCAATACAGTTCAAGATCAGAAGGACTGTTGCGAGCTACAGTATGACTGGAACATCTATACATCCTCAAAAAAAAAAAAAAAAAATTTTTTTTGACGGTGGCAATAAGATAAAAGAAATTGAAACCAGTTGACTGTTAAAAATATCCCGCTCTTCAAAAATAAAAGCTAATTGCTCCAAAAAAAAGTGAATAGTGTAGAACTAAGGTAGTCCCAATAAGCTTACTTCTCCAACAATAGGAGTCAATTTCAACATAAGTTGTCAGGCACGCACAGCGTTTGTTCCCAGCACAATAATTACCAGTACCGCAGTCAGTTGACACCTCACATGGTCTACCAACAGTGCCGTGTTGGGCATCAACATGTGCAGTCAAGAGTATGTGAAGCTGTAGTATTACTGGAATTAATTGACGCGTTATATCCATAAGCAACAGTCCGTTGTTGGCAGTCGATGTCCACCGTTTAATCGCCATTCAAGGCGGTGGCTAAAATACTGAATGAATGTTCAGCTGAAGAAAATTTTCATTAAATAAGACAAACCCTGCTAACTTCAATGGTTAAAAAGGTGACTGCTAAGAAAGTGATGGACAAAAAAACTAGGGAGCGATTCGATTATGGTAGACAGTCCTCCTTATTTGACTGTCGAGGTTCGAGAGCAGTTAATAGTGCTCCCTAGCAGCTAAATCTACGGTTTTGTTAGTAATACTGTCGTAAGGCCAATTATGTTCATCTAGAAATGGGGCGGTCCATAAAGCTAACAGGCAAAAAGACTCCCTCCCCCTGTCGTTGAAAGTCACACAATAAGGTTGTCGTCGTCGTCGTCGTTGTTGTCGGTCATTGACGACATCAAATCTCATCAATATCGGAGGATTTCTAAGCTACCTTTATGGTGTTTGCTATACGTGCTCGATGAGGAAGTGTCTACATTTAGCGCACACCCTGCAAAGCTTCAGTGCTTCTCAAAATTGACATTAAATCCGTCTATCCTCACCTTATACAAAAATTCAGATTAATTGGCTTTATAAAAAAACGCATATCAAATGTAAACATTACATCCCACTGTTCTCTGCTAGTATGTTTTTTTACTTTCGCACTCTCTCTTCTAGATGAGTTGCTTGTATTTTGCTGATTTATTTACTTTTTGTACGGTTGATGAGATTCTTCACGTTGATCTAGAGGTTGTATGGTGACTTTGAGAAACTCTGCACGTAACTTGTTCCTAAGATGTTTCTGCTTCTATGGTTATATTAGGAAACTAAAAAAATAAAGTTGAATGATTCTTTGTGTATCTTCAGAATATCTTTAGACGGACCTGTTGAAACAACAGAAAGCAAACTGAACGTCATCACAGTTCCAGTTTCGTGAGTGCCTGTAGAGTGGTAGGCCACCAAAAACTGCTTATTCAATATGTTCAACTAAAATTAGCCATTTAAATTATTGTTCAGCTATTTAAAGAATTCTCAATTTTTTCTTATGCACAGAAA